TCCTCGTTTCCAGGAGTCAGGGACAGCTCTCAAAGTAATGATAGTGTTAATTAGATGACTAAGAGGCCGTATAATCGATGGAATGGACGCCTTGAGTGCACGTGGTGGTATGTGGTCATGACCAATTGCTTTGTTTGCTTTCATTCTCTGTGTAGCAGTCTTGACCAACTCATGATTAATTAAATTGAACTCAAACGTAACTGTTCATCTTGATTCCAGTTTATATATATGCCTGGATTTATAAAAACAGCGTTAAAGAAATCGCGCCCTGTCCAAGCGTCCAAAGTAGACGATATAAAAATTGAAGGGAATGCCAATCTTTTTTTTCCCTCCACTTTTCTTTTTTTCCATGGCTTGGAGCGATTTTAACGCCTGAAGGAGTCGTGAAATCTAAGAGCATATGGGTGATTTGGTTGAAAGTATTATCACGGTTTCCAGTCATAAATATACGGTTTTTCAAATATTCTGTAACTGACGATGATGTTAGTAACATCGAAACATGTCTTTGATTAAAGAATTAAAAGAATTAAAAATTAAAAAATTAAAAAATGTCGTAATCTTCTTAAAAATTACGATTTGCTTTCTGCTGTCTCGACGTTAAGAATACAAATCATAAAACAGTGATGAAATAAACAGATTTTTTTCACTTGTTTGAGTCTTCGTTTCTGTTATTGGAGAAAACTTTGGAGAAAACTTAAAAAGAAAAAAATCAAAAAAAGTCAAAAAAGGAAACTCAAAGACTCAAAAACTCAAACTCAAAAATAAAAAAACTCAAAAAGTTTGGAGCAATCATTGTTTGTTTGTGTCTTTCTTCCATACATAGCACTAATGAAGATGTACAAGTGAAAAACAAGGAACAGACAGTTTAGAAATCATGCCTAGTTTATAATTTTATAACTAGCATCCCTATTAAGAATTCCCAGCGGCCATAAACCCTTCGCAGAAATGGTGCCTAAATTTGAATAACAATACTTTATACATCCTGAACTTCGTACTGACGTTTCCAGACAAAGGATTTTTCCCATAAATGTGAAGCTTAGGACGTATAAGTATTGTTTTTCAACTATCGGCGTCATTTATGCAACGGTTCTACTCTTCTTGAGTTCCAATTTCCTCGATCCCCAATCACGTTACATTCAGGCCGGCCTTCGGCCAGCCGGAGAACGATATTGGACTCAGTTTCAGATTAAAGGAGAACTAAATTTTCAGAGCAAGATGTAGCTGTTTATTCACTAACATAGCATTTATTACAGCTTGTTTTAATATGTTATTGCCAACAAATTAATTTTTAGTTACAACGGGTGTTCATATTTCATGATATGCCTGCGATCGTTCAGTCTTCATCGAAACTCTGGCGGCTCCCTCTTTTCCACAGTTTTCCGGGGATAAATTTCCGTGCTTCAAGGTTACTCTTTACCACTTCTCTTGAATAACCAGCGAGTTTCGCTTTTAATGGTTTGATTTCTAACAGATACACCTTATCCAGACTTGCTTCTTGAGGTTTCTGAGCTTCGTCTCCAGGTCTCGGGGGCCACTGTATTTGAGCAGTGACTAGCAACGATGTTCCTGACGGAGGAGATCAGTTTCAAAATATGAGTTCTCCTTACAGCCTTCTAGAGACGTAAATTCATTTTCGTTAGAAGAATTTGGTGCAACATCATAATGCAGCAAAGATGAGGATTTGATCTTCTCTCTTGACCTATCTGTTTAATTCCTATTGATATCCGGAGGGGGAATGACTTCTTGGTCATGAATGATCACCCGGGATGGGTACGCTGTAAATCTTTGGGTGGGGCTGTGCCGTTGCGACTCTGAAACCCTTACTCTATACTAGACCATGATCAGCTTTATTTTGCAACCGTATTCTAGATTACCTAGGCACCAAATACCCGTGCCCTATCCTAGACTAGCTATTTTCCATGCAGAAACTTTATCACTATCGTAGTCCAACATACGCTAACTAAACCCGTATCATTACAAAGTCACTTCCAAGTTTCGATTTCTATTATAGAACCCCGAGTAAAGAACCTTGTTCTTGACTTTGTAAGTTATACCCTATTCTACTGCCTTGAGTTCTACAACGTGTGAGACAACTTCTTTAACCACTCTCACAATATAACAGTGAGAAGATACTGGGAATTTCACCGACTCATTTACCAGTAGACTTTGAGTTCGTGATGAGCCGCGCTTGTGACGCGCATTTCCAAGATGATGTGTACGAATTAAAAGTTTTAACTCTTGGATAGAAATGTCAGTATACATGTAAGAGCAGGGAAATAACACAAAGCAAAGATGAATCAAAAGCAAGTTTTCGCGCCACCCTTAGCTGTGCAAGAAGGGAATTCTGGTGAAAATTTCGAGGGCCAACCGGCTCAAACTAAGTTAGATATTGCGCGGTCATGATGAGATTAGCAGTTTCATTGGCAAATGAAACAGTAAGTCACAACATGGAGTAACTCGGATGATCTTGTGAGGTCACACAAATTAATTTTAGCAGCTCTCGAAAGTCACAAATACAACAACCACACAACGACTGAAATATATATTCCTTTAACCCAAGATATTATTAGTTGCAATTGTTATTATAAAGTCATCGTGTTTGTCAATTTCAGTACTGATTGCACACAAAAATGAACATCTCCAGTGTAAAGTGTATTCAGTCTGCCGCAACATGAACTAAAACATAGTAATTATAGAAATATCATCTTGACTCCATGTTTAATTGAGTGTAAGCTTGATTCAGGATTTGACTTTCACTTAATTCATAAAAAAACTTGTATATTGTCAGAAACGTGACCCGGGCCTAAAACATCGCGTCTTCTTTACATCAACAGCACAACCTTCTTCGCAATGAACCATAAATATTAAATATAACTTATGTCATTTACACGTCAGCAGAATATGACGCACAAATAGTCGGAACACTTGTGATTGAATGGTAAAGCAATTCAAGGATTTGCATGAGAGCATTTCAAATACTAGACTGAATGAATATACGGGACAATATTGAGAAAATAAACTCCAAGACACATGTTTCATCTGCTAATACAAATACAAATCTCTAACGAAATTGTTGAAATGATAAAATAGAACTCATAGCGGAGGGAAGACGGAACCAGATTCGAAAAAAACAAAAAGCTCTGACATCTAGATATGTTCCTTACCTGTAAGACATATAACAATTCCTAACGTGATCAAGAGACTCGGACCCATAGTAATATCTGCCAAGCACCGGCGTATGAGCAGGAGTGATGTGATTTGCGAAATTGGATGGATTTAGTTCAGCATTATTTATATAGCAACTGATGTTTGCGTGGTCCGGGAAAATGCGTATCAAAAGTTCATACACTTTAACCAAATATTCAAGAAGGAAATAGACGAAACTTCCCTTGTTAATTTGAAGTCGTTTTCACTAAGGAGAACGGCGTATATTACAAGAATACTTCCAAATTAGGCAGCGTCTCCCTTAAGGCAACCCTGAAAGTTTCTAATTCTAGCATTGTGAAATTGTCGCTAACAGTGCCGACGATTAATTTGAAGCTCTTGATAGAAAGGTCTTGAAAAGAGATGTTTAAGCGTGTCGACAGGTTATTCCTTTAAGAGTAGATACCTAACACGTAAAATATTTTATCAGTGCTCATACATCACCGAGCTAACACCTTCAAGTTACATATTGTTGTCTAAAGCAAAGTAGAATAAAATTACCGTCTTTTGAAGTTAAGTAATGGAATAAGAGCCTGACTTATATTGACTAGATTAAAAATATAAGTTCCGAACTGGTGTCTTGTTTTCTAATTGGTTCTGCTTATATTTATTACTATTATGTACAGCTACAGCTATTATAAAACAAAATGACTTTCTAAATTATGACAAAATTAACTGATGAAAACGGCAAGGAATTGAAAGCCGAGAAAACGAATTCTGACAATGAGACGTGTGATTCAACAAAAAAAGAAAAAAAAAAAATGTGAAAACAAGACAATGTAATCGACTTAATCTTCTGGCGGGGATAACAATATAACTACTGAACTACACTCTACGAATATTAAAGAACAAAATAAGTGCAAAAAGTCTGTTTTGAAAACGGATCGAGTATTGGGGCGAAAAGCTAAATAATTTTTCATATTCTCGTGCATTAAGAGTCTTACATTCTGTATATTATTATACATGATACCAGCAAGATGCCGGCCGTATATACCGTGTTTTGTAGCATGGTCACCGTG